ATTGCACACATAATTAAGTTACAAAGAAACATCATTTGTATACTCGTAATGAAAATAAACTTACTTGTTAGTGTAGGGGAATGTGAATGGATTGCGGTTGATTGGAGCAAGTGTTGGCATTCTAGACCAACCCCACACTTGAAGAAGATAGGCGCAGCCATAAAAAGTACAAGAATTTTGTTTTGTTGCATTTTTACATAATGAACTATATAGATGGGCAAGGACAGCTGGACCCCAACTATATGTGCCCACTTTATTAATGTTATGCAACAACGGTAAATACATAACCTTCACACTATTTCTAGTACTTTCTAGAAATAAAAAATGACCAAATAATATCATAATATAGCACCGAGTTTTAAGTATCTTCTCATACTCGGTGGATTCCTCATTTAACACGATATTATTGTAGTGTTCTCAGAGGTATTTCAAATTAATACCTTGCCCCCTCGGTTGACCTTCACGTTGTGGCTGAGGTGTTTCGACACATAGAGGGGCACCCAGTAAATTTTCGCAAAGTTGGTCATTAACACCAACTTTGTCGTTGACGACCTATCATTGATGTGTAGGCAAAGTAACATGTAGACATCTTGTAAAGTTACAGTACATTCACCGCAAGGTAGGTGAAATGTGTGGGTTTCTAGTCTCCAGCGTTCTAGTAACGCTCAAACACCACAATACATGATCGGTGCACATTTGAACGGTGAGGTTTTTGAATCTAACTCAGTCGGTTTTAATTTTTGAAATACGGATGTTACTGGGTTTTGATTGACATAAGATCAAATATTTTACACTTGAAAGCGAGATTAGAAAAGAAATTACAGTGTGGTCCAGTTGGCCAAATAATCTACAAGAATTCTGTGTTTTTTGGCGGTCACGAGCAATGCAAATTTTTTCAGTTAAAGATTCGAGACAATGAAGATGTGCGTAACATATTTATCAAGCATGAGTATTCTGGCTTCTCAGATATTGAGCTATAATTACGTTACAAAAACAACAAATGTCTCAACAACTTGATTCTTCTCAAGTTTTTTACAAATCTGATGACGAACACGCTGAAGTCGATGCCATTGATGAAGAAGAAGAAGCAGCTGAAGTCATTATTGACGACATGGTAAACAACGAGGAAGAGGGAGTGCCACCCAGTCATGTTTATTTCCCACCTCAACACGTTACAAGTCTTAACTTAGGTGATGATGAACCTTCAATGAATATTTTTTACAATCCAAACTACCCAACAGAAGGACTATTAAAAGAGGGAGACAACTTTCGTACAAAAGAAGATTGTGTCCGAGCAATAAAACAATATCATATAGACTTATCAACAGATTATAGAGTCGATCGAACAAATCCGACTCTGTATAAGATCTATTGTCGTAACGAGGTATGTCCGTTTTGATTAATAGCGTCTTTTCGAAAGAGAATTGATTCATGGAAGATAGGGTCAATGGGTCCAGCGCACACTTGTATAATCACAAATCCGATGCAAGACCATCGCAAGCTCAACTCTCAATTGATTTGCGATGGAATTCTATCGGTCATTAGCGACAACCCCTTCTTTGAAGGTGAGTACCATAATTTCACATATGGTTCAAAGATACAATTACACTCCTTCGTACAGGAGAGCATGGATAGCTAGGACTAAGGTGGTTGAAATTGTGTTTATAAATTGGGAGGAGTCTTACAAAGAACTTTCAAAATTATTGGTGGCACTTAAACAATATTCTCCAAGGACTGTTGCCATCTTGGAAACAATGTCGGTGTATACACCAGACAAGACTTACGTTAGTGGAAATGACATTTTTCACAGACTCTTCTGGGCGTTTGAACCATGTATCAAAGGCTTTGCTTATTATAAACCTATTATTCAAATTGATGGCACATGGTTGTACGGGAAATGTAAGGGCATGCTACTCATGGCTACGACACAAAATGGGAACAACAACATTTTTCCAATAGTCTTCGCTCTAGTTGAAGGGGAGACCACTAGGGGTTGGAGTTTTTTCCTATAAAATCTCCACTTATACGTTTCTCCCCAACCTAACTTATGTTTAATCTTTGATAGACACCCATCAATCGAGAGTGCATACAAGAACCTTGATAACGGTTGGCAGGATCCTCCCTCAAACCATGTGTATTGCATAAGACATATCGCCCAAAATTTCATGTGGGAAATCAAAGACAAAACACTAAGGAAGAAGGTTGTGAACGCGGACGGGGTATGCACTAACAGAGCCCACATTCAAACACTACCGTGACGAGATCAGACTGACAAACATAGATGCGTTAAGATGGATTGATAATATTCATAAAGAGAAATGGACAAGGGCATACGACAATGGGGTGCAATGGGGCTACATGATAACTAACCTCGTTGAATCAATGAATTTTGTTTTCAAGGGAATCTGAAACCTATTGATAATTGCCTTGGTAAAGACAACATATTTTAGGCTCGGGGCACTCTTTGATAACAGACGTACAAAGTGGGGTTCAGTACAAAGCCAACACACATGTGGTCACAATCTTTAATTGTAATAAAGGTTGGTTCAGTGTTGCAGAGTCAATTGATTACAATGAAGGAAGGCCTAGGGCATGTTACCGAGTGGAACTGGATAGGAGTTGGTGTGACTGTGGAAAGTTTCAGGCATTTCGTATGCCTTGCTCCCATGTTATAGCAGCATGTTCGAAGGCGCGTCAGGACCCAACCAACTATCTTTATGATGTTCACCAAGTGGTAATCTATGCAATGTCTATAGATGTAGCTTTCAAGTGGTGGAAAAGGATGACTATTGGCCTTCATACGAAGGCGAAATTGTCTGGCATAATGATTTGATGCGAAGAAAGAAAAAGGATCGCCCTAATAGCACGAGCATTCGAACGGAGATGGATGCAGCAAACAAAATGGTTAGATTATGTAGTTCGTGTCGGCAACTAGGACACAATCGTACAAAATATCCCAATGTAGGATCAAGTACAAGATCATAGTTTCTAAAGTAACAATGTCCCTTTAAATCAACAACAAATTTCATTCCATTGAAAGCATAACTAAGCGATTACAATTAATAGCAACATAAATTAAACAAATGTAACTTAATATCAAAACAACAATCAGAAAATAACAACAACATAACCTAATATCAAAATAAAAATCCGAAAATAACAACAACAAACCCACATAAAACAACACAATGCATCAACTTGTCTATGATATCGCAACCATCAAGGTAACCTTCTTTGGCGTTAACATCATCACAAGGACACCAACATCATTTTCCACTTTTCTCCAATCACGAGTAACTTTGTTTCTCCCTGACTCCTCAACTAACCTCTCAATTTTTCTAATCTTTTCACTTGCAACAATATCTCCTTCTAGCCAGCGGTTCAGTTCCCTATGCAAATGCTTCAAAGTCTGCGTGTTCCACAGTAGCACCTTCGTCGGAGGCTTTGCTGCTGAAAAATAAATTAGGACATTTCTTTTCATTAGAGAAAATGTTGGAAACGATTCCTCCAATGATGATGACGACGACGATGAACGTTGATTTAGAAATGCAGACATTCTAGACTAATTTAAAAATTATGAAGAGTTGAGTCTATTGGTGAAAATTGTTGTGAAAAAAGAGATGAGTGTGCAGTCTTATTTATAGAAAAATGAAATAGTACGGACTACATATGATATGACGTAAATACCCTTACAAATTCATGATGAAACAAAACACAAAACAAATCATTAAAAAAAATAAAACAAAACACAAAACAATGAAACATCAAGAGATGAGTGTGCAGTCTTATTTATAAAAACATTTTTTTTACAAAATTTATTATTTCTTTTAATTATATATATTTTTTACAAAATATTAAATATGGACAAATTTTATTATTATTTTAATTATATATACTTTTACAAAATATTAAATAATATATAAAAAAAAAAGCCCTACAATTGAGGTGTCATATGATATGGCGACTCAGCTGGAGGGTAGGGTTTGTGTTTTTAAGTGTGGCGCCATATGAAATGGCGACTCAGGTCAAGGTGATCTTGATCAGCCATTTCATATGGCGACTCATTGGGAAAACATGACCACTTTTATAATTTTTTTGAATTTCATGTTTAATTGGTATTTTCATTTAAAAATAGTGTTATTTAAAAAAAAAATCGTCACTTACATCACATGTAATTTCAAAAAGTTAAAATCAATCAGAGTTAGCGTCTATCAAGACAAACACTAATATACTATTTAAAATATTAAATACTTTTTCACATTTTCCTCAAATTTAAAAAGCGTGTCTTTTACCAATAAATTTGTAAGTAGTTTAGATATTTTAGAAAAGTCTCTTATGAGTCTTTTATAAAAACCTACATGACCTAAACAGATTTCTTATACCTTTTTTATTTATTGGAGGGAAAAGTTTTTTTTATTACTTCTATTTTAGATTAGTCTACCTCAATCCATTTATATGAGATGTTGTGACCAACTATTATTCCTTCTCTTATCATAAAATGCCATTTTCCCCAATTAATAATTAAATTAGACTTTTGACACCTTTATAAGAAATATATAAATTAAATAGACATTTATCAAAAGTAGAGGCAAAAACATAAAATTTATCCATAAATACTTTAATATGATTTTCAAACATATCATAGAATATGAACTTCATACACCTTGAAATATTTCATGAGCATTGCATATGCCGAATGAAATTCTTGTATTATCCATTTAAGAAGCAATAATTTTGTAGTATTTTTTATTGTAAAAAAAAAATTAATACATACTTGAAAGTTGAAACGACATGTCGCTTAAGAGGCCCAATGGATTGATTAATTGGTTTTGCAACAATAATAAAAAAAACAACAAAATCTAATAGAAGTGGAAGAGGTAGTTCTAGTAGTGTTATTCTTATACTTCCGTGTCTTACTTTAAATAGATCAAAGAAAACCTCTGTGTCGTGTTCTCTCGTTTCATCGTCGATTCTTTCTCAAATCAAATCAAACAAAATCAATGGCAACACCAAACGTGCAAGAAGAAGCCACCAAACCCGCAAAGAGAAAACCCGTTTTCACTAAAGTGGATCAGATGAAACCAGGAACCAACGGTCACACTTTGATCGCTAAGGTTTTATCCTCTGAAACTGTCTTGCAAAAAGGACCAAGACCTTCTTCGTCTTCCTCTTCACGTGGTATCGTTCGTCCTACTCTCATCTCTGAGTGTCTCATCGGTGATGAAACTGGGTCCATCATTTTCACCGCTCGCAATGAACAAGGTTCTATTTCACTTTTTTTTGAGTTGTTTTCGTTTCCCATTATTAAAAATGATAACTTTTTATATGGGTCGTGGTTTGTTTGTTCTAATTTTTGGATTTTTTTCATTAGGGTTTTGTCATTAGGATCTACATTGTTTTGGGATTAGGTTTATTGTTTTATATCCCAAATTTTAATTTGTGTTGATAAGGTTTTTACACTATTGTTACTCGGATCTTACAACTTTAGATTTTTTTTACTAATTTTTAACTATCTATATTAATTATGAAAACCTAACTCTGAAAACACTATGAGTTTAGAGAACAAGGAAATTTTTTAACCATTGTAGTAAACATTTTCATTGTTTCCAAAACACTGCACACAACATAAATTGGGAAGAATTTGAAGATTTTATTCAGCTTCGAATTCAGCGTTAGTCGATTAAGTGAAGAGTTTTTGTCCCTCAAATTTATGATTTCCTTGATGAGACCCTAGGAGAGATTGAGAATGGGAGCAGGTTATAAAATTGTAGTGCATATAAGTAAGAAGTGTATTTTCATCTATATTTTCATTTTCATTCTCAAACGTTCCTTCTTCAATAAGCAAAAATTTGAGTTAGTGATTTATTTTCTATAAGGGGTCTTATAGTCCTTATGTACAAGCATTTGCCTAAGAAGTCTTGTAGTACTTTATTTTCTATAAGAGATTACTAAAACGATAAATAATAGTACTATATATTTGAAGTTTTTTTTGCATGATATATTTTTGTAGGCAAGTGTATTTGTGGGAAAATGGCTTCTGCCAAACCGTAATTGTTGCGCCTCGGTATCTAGTCATTCGTCTTGGCTTGTAATGGTGGTGATCGGAAAACGATAGGTCGTGGCCGTAACTAGCCAAGATCGCATATAATTAGTTGATATTTATTTTTTTCACAATTTGACTACAAAACACGATTCTACATAAAGTTGGAGTAGTTGGGGGTGAGTGGGATCGTAAAATCGTAATATTTGAAGATCTAGATTGTGATTTTGACAGCAATTTGCAAACCCAATTTTTGAAGCGTATATGTGTTTCTATTGCTTTGTTACATTGGCATGGATTGTAGTACTGATCTGTATAAGGAATGAACATATGTGATGAAAATGTCTGGTTTTGTTTCTTTGCAGTTGAGTTGATGAAGGCTGGAAACACCGTAATCATTCGCAACGCAAAGATTGACATGTTTAAGGGATCCATGAGGTTGGCTGTTGACAAATGGGGGCGAATTGAGGTGACTGATCCTGCTGAATTCGTCGTCAAAGAGGATAACAACCTATCCCTCATTGAATACGAATTGGTGAATGCGGTTGAAGAATAATAATTCGTAGTTACGACAATCTATCTCTCTTGTTTTGGATGCTGCTATGGTAAAACTTAACTGGCGTATACATTTTCGCATTAATTAGCCTGGATTTTCCTTTTAACTTGCTTGACTTCATTCTAGGGTTAAATTTATTACTTGAACACTGTTTTGCTACTCCTATCTTTAAGTGTATTCAGTGAAGTTAAGAAAAATATGAATGTTTCTCCAAATTTTCTTGTATACTAATCACAAGAATTGAGAATGGTTAACTAGGAAAAAGAATATTCACATAAACATGTTCTTGTTCACTTATGTTGGTATGTAGCTATGTCTTTTTGAACCACTTACCTATCTAGGTATTCCAACCGACGAAGAGTGTACATCAGAAAATCATAAATATGACGTTGACATTGACATCTCTTCACCGGTATTAATGTGAAAAAATGAATAAATTAAACGTAATTATTTTGAACAAAACTCATTGTTTATTCTTGACACTATTTTCCTTGATTTTTTCTCTATCATATTCTCCTTTAGTAAATACCCTTGGCTCCTTCAGTCATCCAGTAAACTCAACACAAACTACTGTATTTGGCGGTCAACATTTGTAATTGTAAGATGAATCATTGAGAGTTTGAGTTAAGGTGTTGTGAGACTTGACTTTGAAAATTTTAAATGGATGAATTATGTTTATGGGACAATTAGGATTACACTGAAAAAAGAATTTTTCAACACGGGAACTATATTTGCGTGCTTCATAATTCACTTGTCTTTGATTAAGAATATTCTTGAGATCTATATATGCTTGCTTCATAATTCACTTGTTTTTGATTAAGAATATTCTTGAGATCGGAAAGAGTTTTGGAAGAAATTTAAAGGACAGTATCCAAAAGAGTGTTTCAAATCGGTTGTTATTGAGAAAATAGTTTCATAATTTGGAACAATATTAAAAGAGTGCTTCAAATCGGTTGTTATTGAAGGAATGGTTTCGTAGTTTGGAACAATTTTATAGATATAGATGAACATTCAAAAGAATTAGTCATCTAAATAAGTCTGGCATAATGGACCTTTTTTTCCACACTTTTTTGCGAGGTGAACTAGGTTTTAGATTTGTTCTCTTAATATGTCAGTCTTATCCTTTTTTTTTTTTTCTTGTGCGACAATTAATAAGATTTTTGAAAATTTTAAACTTTAAAGATGCACCACCTGTAGATCCACCATGCCTTATTTTTTTTTTTTTGGGACGGGTCAAAGTTTTAGTCACATGCTCTCTACAACTCTATTTTTTTGCGGGATTTTGTGGGATGGACATAAATAGGCGAGCATGCCCGTTTGTTGCCCTTACATCTTAGTGCCTCCAATGATCTTCCTTTTGAATTAGAAACTATTTGAGCCAAGATTAATGATGAAGATAAAACTTTGAGATCAATACGGTCTTTTCCATCTTCTTACGAGTATATTAAACATGTTTTTATACATGGGAAGGAAACTTCGAATTTTGAAATAGTTGAAAAAAATTATTTTTAAAAAAAGATTGAAAAGTGAGGATAATATTTCATCAAACTTGGTGTTGGTTGCTAGAGGAATGTTTTATGCGAATAAAAATAATGAAATGGATATGAGATTTTGAAAATTTGAAAAGAATAAGTGTCATGATGGAGTGGCGTCAAAAAAGGTCCTAAGTCAAAAGCTAGCAATCACCCTCGCTTTGGGAGAGATGGTATTTTTCAGATAATTGAGAAGTTTGTTCTCGTAATGTTTCTGTTGTCATGAAAAAGAACGGATAATTGCCAGCAGATTAACACATCACCATCGGTTAACTTTGATGCAAAGTGTTGAGAAATTATGTGTGTTTCATTGCGAAAACTTCGGCGGAGCGAAGCTTCCTAAGCGATTAAGTGATGCAATACAGTGGATCAAAGACTGCGATCGTGATGCCTCTTGAATCAGAGACGTTGATCTTGAACTGACGTTGTCAATTAGTGTCGACCTTGGATCAACGTTATTAATCTCTAGTACGGAGATCAAAGGAGGGGTACCTACATGATTAACACTTTAACGCCCAAGTCAGTTGAGGTTCAAGATAACTGTAGTAAACGTGGATATTAGATATTGTGTACTTGAAAATCCTTTATAAAGGTATTTATACCTTAGACTCAATGGAACAGACATAATAAATGGGTCTTGGTGTAACCTGAAAAGGTAGAGAGTGGCGTGACACAGTTTACTGTGCACTTAAGTGTACTTGAGTTTGGTTGTGTTTCTAAGATGAAATGTGAACGTTGATCCACATTTGCTTTTTAATTTCAATTTGATCTGCTTGATTGTTAAGGACGAAGAAAATTTGGGGTAATTTTTTGCAACATGTTGGATTGAATTTTCGGATTTCCTTTGAGTCTTTACCTCTTCTCTGAGAGCATTTTCCAAGAGTAATCCTCGTCGCGCATTCAAAGCTTCAAAGCTCCAATTTTTGCCTTTTTTTTGCTTAATTGCCTTCGACCTCACATTTCAAGGTACCTTCTCTTCACTTTAACTTTTCGTTCAAGCATTTGTTGTTTCTTTGTTAAGATGAGAAATAAACCTATTATCATAGAGAGCAATTCAGAAAGTATCACTTCTTCTTCATCGAAAAGGGAAATGAAGTCTGGATTATATTCCCTTTCCTTTATCAGTGGGGATTTTAAATCAAAGACCGTCTTTCTGGTTGATGACTTAGAAACGGGGAGAGTGTTTAGATATTATCTTTCAGACGAAGCTCTTTTCAGGGATCCTTCAAAGGCTCTATTTTCAGAGAAAGTTGATGGGGTGAGAGTTTTGTTGAGAAACTGTTGTCTCCCCTTGTCATGATTGAGGCGGAAATAAAGGCTACCCACCAAAGGAGGGAGCGTGCTGGAAGTCTCGTCCTGTTATATAGGAGAATGAATGGTCATGAGCCTAGCGATGTTGAAATCTCATGCTATTTAGAGTGTCAGGGGCAGTCTAATGTTGTGTCTTAGACCAGTCCTAGTGATCACCTTAAAGTTGATGACCTGACTCGAAGGGGACTTTGATTAATTGAGTCGGATAACGCCAATAGATACCACAGGGTGGCCACCAAAGTGTTAAGGACTCCTTCCGCTCTAAATAATGCCAAGGCAATAACCAATGTTGACATTATAGTCAACAACTCAGACTAGTTGGTTCTTCTCGTAGGTATGACAGAGATTATATGCAGCTCTTTTGAGGGTTGCCCAATTCCTCTATATAAGTTCCTCTATACCATGTTAGAGGTATATTTTCCTTTTTCTGATTTCGAGGTGGTCGTTATCAACCGTGTGAAGGTTTCCCCCTCGTAACTTCATCTGGGAGCTTGGACTTATATGAAAGTGTTCTAACTTTGCGTCGAGCGTAAATCTTGGAAACCTTTTTTAGAGCTTTTTTTACCTCTTGGGATGACATTTAAGATTGGGGATTGATCTTCCTTCGCCCTTAAGTACCTTGGTTCAAAATTTTCATCAATGGCTAGGCTGACTTCTTCAAACGTTTCTTTCTTGTGAAACCTATTACTCTCGGGGCTCACTTTGCCTTATGTTTGTCTTCGGCCCTAGTGGGATGTGCTCGTTCTTGTAAGAGAGGGTTTCTGAAGTATAGGTCTTATGATCAACTTATGCGGCTGAGTGACGCCTACTTCTACTATTGCGGTTGTTCCTTCTTCGATGGTCTGGGCTCCGGTTATGGTTACTACCCTAATAATATTTGATCCTACTATCTCGAGTATAACTCATGAGGTGGAATAACTGAATACTACAGTGACCGACTTCTTTATCCATGGGCCTTCACCATACCCTTCTTATATCAAACGGATCCAGGGTGATAGCTTGTCCACTCCTGTTGAGGGAGGATCTTCCAAGCGAACTTGATTGTCTTAGGATGCTAAATTGGAGGATTTTACTCCCTTCTTTCGGCTTTATGCTATTCTTCCATCCCAGGTGCCTAGCACCCTAGAGGAACTTGTTGATGTATTGACCAATAAGGATTTACCTTTTGTCAGGAGTCTATCTGTAGTTGACAGGCGGAATCGTTTTGCATATGCTTCCTACATCCTATTTAGGATCAAATCCGTAGTTTTGATGATAGCTGCAGACCACGATAATGTGTTAGGCTCTGACAACCTTTCTAGAGAGCAATATGAGCTAAAGGATAAATGTGAGACCCTTGAGCAGGAGAATCTCGTAACTCATAATGAGTTGGCCGAATTGCGGGTGAAGGCTGAGCTTGCTGACTCTTTGCAAGAAGATGTGGATTGGTATGGTACTCCATCAATTTTGGTTGCTCAAATAACAAAGTTGAAGGCTTCTTTTGCTAAGGGAGAGAAACGTTAGAAGAAGGCTTCTAAAGATGCGGCGGAAGCGTGACGTAAATTTTAAGCGGGTCGGAAAGCTCTTTAGTAGAACAAGGATGATGGGTCAACACTCTAAAAGGCCTTGAGGAAAAAGTGGGTGATGCACAACAGAAATCTCGGGAGTCCTTTCAGTGGGTTATGGAATTCGTGTATCGGGTCCAGGATCAAATTGGAGCAGACACGAGGATTTTGTTCCATACTTTATGTTTCTATTTACCAGTTGGGTCCTTTCAAAGTGGTTCATGAAGAGGATGTTAGGGGGTGATCCTAATCCAAAAGCTGGTCTTTGAGGGTCTTTGTGTCCCCCTTTTTCTTCTGTTTTTGTTTTGTTCTTGTAAGAGTTTTGTCGGGCTTTGGGCATGGGCTTTTAAACAATATTTATGTTTATGCATATCATTACCTTTTACATGCTTTTACTTTTGGGTTTCATATCGCGCCCTTTCTAAATGCATTTTTTAGTCGGATGAGAGATGAGAAGAGCATGGTTTTCTTTCAAGTCATGGAGTTTACATTGTTTGTATGCTACAAAGAGCAGTAAATAATATTTGCTTAAAGTGTAAATAACCTTAAGTTTTTTGTGTATCCATGTATGGCTACTTTGTTCGTGAGTATATCGCGTTAAGATGTATGTGTT